CCGGCCAGCACTGGCTGGGGACACGGCCAGATGCCTGGCCTGACCCTGCATCGTCGCCAGTCTCCAAAAAAAGCCACCAGCTCCTGCGAGGGAGAGCACAGGCTCTGGAGCCTGCAGAGACCGACATCTCTAAGGGTTCTGGAGAGGCTGGCCCCATGCCTTGTGCCAGAAGGGCGGCTGGGTTTATTTGTGCAATGAGGTGGTGGAGACCAAACTTGGGATGACGCCGAACTGCCTGAAAGACCCTGCTTAACTTGAGAAAGGCAGGGAGACAGCAGCGATGGAGTGAGGGAGTCGTAGCAGGTCTGTGGGGGCTGGTGGGGAGGGGACCCGCTGTGACTGGTGAGCTGAGCATGTGGGACGGGAGGATCCCAGGTGACATGAAGGAAGAACTTCTTCACTCTGAGGGTGACGGAGCCCTGGACCAGGCTGCCCAGGGAGGCTGTGGAGTCTCCTTCTCTGGAGATATTCCAGCCCTGCCTGGCCGCGGTGCTGTGCAGCCTGCTCTGGGTGACCCTGCTTGGGCAGGGGGTTGGGCTGGGTCCCCAGAGGTCCCTTCCAACCCCGACCATGCTGTGATTCTGTGACAGGGGACACACGATGCCGAGCAACACTGGAAGCAAGCTGCTCTGGAGCCTCTGCATCTGCTTCACACAGCTCTTCACCTTCCCTGAGAGCAACCAGGAGCCGTGAGGCTGCCCAGGCTCTGTGCTTGGCCATCCCGCCTCCTCCCACTGCCCAACGCAGAGGCAGCCACGGCTCGGGCAGACGTTGTCCCCGCTGCCAGGGAGCCCAGGAGCGGCCAGCCGGCCACAGCGAGGTGTGCTCAGCAGCCCCACGTGCCTGCCAGCGCTGCTGAGGTTGCACACATCAGTCCACATCGGTCCATATCAGTCCACATCAGTCCATATCGGTCCACATCAGTCCATATCAGTCCACATCAGTCCACATCAGTCCACATCGGTCCATATCAGTCCACATCAGTCCATATCGGTCCACATCAGTCCACATCAGTCCACATCAGTCCACATCAGTCCACATCGGTCCACATCGGTCCTGCCGCTGCAGCACAGGCGCGTCCCCAGGGCTCCCAGCTCAAGGCCAGGGCACGGCTGCATGGGATCTCCCCAGCATCGTCCACTGCCACCCCCACCAGCATCACCTCTGCTCTCCTCCCTCCCGCAGCCACCGACCCAGCCCTGCTCCCACGCACGGGAGAGGAGGCAATCGCTGGAAGCCTCTGAATATGGATGAGGTGCAGGTTGCTCAATAATCACGCCTGAGAAATGTCCAAATATTTACACAAACAAACCTCCACTCCAAGGAACCTGCTGAAAACAGCCCTAATCTCAGCAATGACTTAATGGAGGCCACCTGCACCAGAGGCACCGGCTCCCAGCAGATCACAGCGCGCAGGGCTGGTGTACAACCTGGTGTCACGGCACGTAGGGGATGGAATCACAGAATGGTGGGGGTTGGAAGGGACCTCTGGGGGTCACCCAGCCCAACCCCCTGCCCAAGCAGGGTCACCCAGAGCAGGCTGCACAGCACCGTGTCCAGGCGGGGCTGGAATATCTCCAGAGAAGGAGACTCCACAGCC